CAGTGTAGAGGGGAAGGAGAACCTCCTTGTAATAAAATACATTCTTCTGGAACAGAGTGTGGTCTTACCTGCAAGAAACATTATCTCCTGTGTGCCACTTAGTGAAGTGGCATTCAGGTGTCTAGAAGCAGTAACAGCAGTGATCCAAAACATGCATTCTCTGGAAGCAACAGAAATTAATTACATGCTTAGGTGCAAGTTTAGGTGTCTGCATATGTACAAACCGCTCCACTCTGGAAACCCACCAGTTTTCTCAGATCTGTGGTGATTCATGGGGACACCTAAATGCACGTGGGCAACAGTTAGTTTGGTTGGAATTCTGTTTACAAAGGTTGCTAGTGCCGTTGTCCTTTAATATGCTCAGCTCATCTACAGCAGCCCCTTTGGGGTGAAGTGGTCTCCTGTAGGTCTTGTGCCAGCTCTGTTCTGATGTCTGATATCCTGGGAAACCTAAAAGGGCACTGGAAACCTGTAATTATGTGTGTGTCTTGCTCCTTCTCATTCGGGTCACTGACATCATACACCTGTGTTTTTACATTGATGCTTACAAAGTTCATTCCAGCAAGAGTGCTGCATTTTTAAAATACAAGCGTTTCCAGGTTTTCAAAAAGAATTTGTAATAGGATCATGCTCTTTACGCCTTCTGAGGATGTACCGCTGTGGAGTCAAATATGGAAGACTCATGGCGCGGTACAGAGTGAGCAAGAGGGAACTGGCTCCCTGTCTGAGTATGCAGGATGCTGGTGTGAGGCAGAGGAGCTTGGGTTCCAGTTTCTGGTGTGGTTTATTTAATCTGGTAGCTGCACAGTAGACAATATAGGCAGCCATGGCTGTGGAGGCAATAACCCAAGTGTCATCCTTGCTGAAAGATCCAGCCATCAGGCTGATCATAGGATTTGCCTCGTGACCCCGGAAGTTCTACGTTCCTAAGTGCATACTGGTCCAGCATAAAGAGAGGGAAGGAGTGTGTCCTGTTCCATCTATTTTTATGTCCTTTGTAAAGTATGCCTAAAGGTGAAGGAGCCCTGTAAAGAAATAGGTGCTCTGACCCTGAGGGGAGGGAATTGGGACCCCCCCTTCCCCTTCTTTTTGTGTACTTTAACTGCTAGGCTTTTGTGCAAAAACGGATGGGTTACCACTTGTCCTCCTTTTCCTGTCTCGTGAAGACCCTGGGGGGTCTGTAGGGTCTGCACGCAACTCTTGGCACTAGGTCCTACAGGTAGGACCTTCACCTTCCAGTTTAGGCTTGTGGTCAGTGTGCGTCACTTGAGACAGTCTTGGCTACTTGAGTCAAGTAGCTGTTCTTGGTTGTGCTCTCATGAGTAAATCATGTTATTCCACATGCCGCTCCGCAGGTGGATTTTCTATAGCACAGATTTCCTCTCAAGGGAAACTGATGCAGCTTTTTCTCATGCAGGGAAGTTGCAGCTATGTAGATCCAGAGCTTGTAGAACTATGAGACCAGACGCTAATAACCGTGTTGGGCAGGTAGTCTGCCAACTGAACTTTGTCTCCTTAATAAAGTTGCACTATCAGAATTTGCTTTCTCTCTTTTAGTAAGTGTTTCTGGTCCTTATATTCTAGAAACAACTTCTAAACACACACAAAAAAGGATAAACCAAAGTAAATGTTGCCTTTCTGATTGCCCGGCTAGTGAGAGACAAGAGTTCGAAAGAGTGGAGACCATCCAGATTTCTCCCCCCCCCAC